AAAAGAGAATACAGAATTTAAGAGAGTTGGGATAGAGAAAGAGTGAGAGAGGATGGTGAGGGAGGGGAAAAGAAGAGAAGAAAGGGAAAACAATAGGTTAAATAGGTTTTAAGAGAAAAAGGGCAAAAAAAGAAAATAGAAAAAATTTAGCAAAGTATTTTGGTAACTTAATACATTCTGTTATCTAACTTAACGATCAAAGGGGGTCTTTCTCTCATGATCAAAGTACAAGGGAGTCTTTGTCGCAGAACAAAGTACAAAAGGGTCTTTGTCAGAAACCCTATAGTATAGAGGGTCTGTAATTTACCCTTTAAAAAAAGAAAAAAATAGAGTTTGAATGAATTTCTTTTACAACCCATAAGTCTAAGTCATATTTTGAAACAATCAAAGTTCATTAGAATTGAGCATTGATTTGGAGGATCACTATTCACTGGTTTATGTGGCCTTAATTTTTTTTCTTTATTCTGCTTTATCATGAAATGAAAAATGAAGTTAGTTGAGAGAAACGTAGGAGTGTAGATCTCTTTAGTCTTCATGGGTCCCTCCCATACCCATTCCCATGTTTTAAAATGGGTGGAAATGGATGACATGAGTTTATGAAAGAAAAAAAAATAGTAAAATAAAATTGAGAGAGAAAAAAAAAAAGAGAGATGGATAGGATTGAAAAGCCAAAAGCAGCTGCTCAGACCGCCACTCCCACTCGAACGGTGGAGAACAAAAGATAGATAAATTATGTAACCCCATTGGACTATTGGAAGAAGGGGACCGGCTAACTGCTTTTCCAGTTTTCATTTAATGATTCTCTTCTCTTCACAAAGAAGAAGATTAAGATTTAAATTTAAAAATTAAAATCAGATGGAGATGGAAACATGGTCCAAATTCATTCATTTTCAGATCAGAATCTGTCATAATGGGATCGGCTCCATTTAATGGTGGGCTCGTTATAATTGTCCACCAGTCGGTGGGCCGCCTCCTAGTCCTAGCAGAGTCATAGTGGTGAATCCTTGACCACATATGCATACACCTACGGAAAGGAAAAAGAGGACAATTGCATTGAAAAGAAAGCCGAGACGGAGACGTTGGAATTTGCAATTTGCAATTTGCAAAAGCAAACAAACAGAGTACTGTTATATACATTTATTAAATAACTAGCTCGGACCGTGCGATGCATGGAAAAAATTTGAAAGATTTAATAATTTTATTTTTTATTTAATGTTGATTTATAGAAAATAATAATTATTAATTGAATATGAATAAATATTTTTTAATAAATTTAGTTTTATTAATAATTTGTAGTAATTTTAATAATTTTTATCCTTTTTATTATTTTTAAATGAAATTTTGATTATTTTTAAAATAAATAAAAATAATTATAAAACCTAACATTTTTATTAATTCCACTAATAATTAATAATTATAAAGGAATGACAACGGAGTGGATTTAGGGCAAGGCACCCCATCCCCGCCCCGTCCCCAATGTCACGCGGGTTCAAGGCAAGGTAACCACTCCTCAGTGTCGAGTGAGTTCAAGGGCAAGGCACCCCACTCCTCATCAAGGATGAAGAATCCTCGAATTTCATTGCCCCATCCCCAGTATTAGGTGGGTTCAAATAGAGGTGTAAATTGGGTCGTGCTGGGTCAGCACGACACGACCCACATTTGGCCCGCACAAAGTGCAAGCTGTAATGTGTTGGCCCACGAGGCATCCCGGGCCATGCCTTCCTCCTCTAGGATAATTTGGGGGGTCAATTCGGCACGGCCCACGACTCGAGCCCACACGGGCCCGTGCCATGCCGTGGGTCGGGTTGGTCCATGGGCCAGGCCATGCCACACACCAAGCCAATCTCAAGGCAAGGCACCCACTCCCTGTCCAAGGTTTTTAAAATTGGACCGGATAGGGAACCATTATGGGGTCAAAACAGACTATTTGTCAAACAGATGACCCACTCTTACAAAAAAAATAAATAAATATAAAAACAAAAAAGGCCAAAAACAATTGTCCGGGTTGACGGTTCGACTGCCCAGGTTAGCGGTTTGCTAACCAAATAAATGGTTTTTGGACAAAAAGAGGTTTTGAGGAGAAACAGTGTCCGGTTCTCAATTTTTTGGTCTAACCATTTGTTTTGATCCAGTTTTGAAAACACTGTCCCCGTCAGCCCAATATTCAATTTGATGATAGAAATGATCAAAAGGATATATTGAGTATCAACCACATGGTAAATTTCTAAAAGTATACTAAATTGTCTTTAGTATTCAAAAATGTAATTTTATAAAAGTTTTGGAAAATTTATTGTGCTTGTGTAATTTTGAAAATTTATTTAAATTTTTATTAAATAATTTATTTTCTTTTTAAAATGGTTTAATTACAGAATTATACTAATTTATCTTATAATTTCTAATATAAACTAACCAATAATTTCCTTTTCCAATATTATACTATTTTATCTTAATAATTTGTGTAATTATTTGTTCAAATTATAGTTTTTCATTTCCCATAGTCATTTATCTTTAATAATTTTCAATGAAAATTACATAATTTTTTAATGATCCAAAATCTATCAAATGTAATAAATTTTCCTAAAATTTCCAAAATATTCTAATAATTTTTAATAATTATTTAGTGCATTTTAAATAAACTTTCACATACTTTATATCTTTTAATTTCAAAAATGTTATTTTATGAAAATGTAGCTTTATGAAAAATTTTGAAAATTTTATTACATTTGTGTAAACTATGGTGATTTAGATTTTTTTTTAAATTGTTATTAAATATATATTTTTATTTGGTAGTTTACAAACAAAATTACACTAATTTATCTTTTATTTTTCAATATAAATTAATTAATAGTTTCATTTTCTAACATTATAATATTTTGTTCCCTACTTGTATTTGATTATTAATTATAATAATAACAATAACTAAAATTTTATACTTTTTGATAATTGTTAATATAATTCTCAATTTTATAGAAATTAGTTAAAGAGTTTTCAATTTCTGTAAAATGTTGTTAATGGGTTAATTAATAACAATATTTATTAACTTTTGGTAATTTACTAACCGTATTTATTAACTTTTGTTAATAACACTATTTAATGCTCATTGAATATGGGTGGGATTAAATATTAATCGTATTAAACTATTTATTAATTAATATGGATATTTTAAATGAGGGAGAGTGGATATAGATTGGGGGGATGCATTTTAGGAATTCATTAGGGTGTAGGGCAACCCGATACTTTCCTATTGCTTTAAATAACAAAATAAAAATACATTTAAAAATAATTATTGAAAGCATATTTATTAAAAATAAATAAATAAATACTGAAAATAAAATAAATATTAATTATAGTAAATATAAATATATAATAAATATACACTATTATTGTAAAATTATTACTAATAAATATAATTTTATTGATAGTTATTTTCTATAATTATTAATTGATATAAGTGAAATTAGTTATTTACAATATTATTTACTTATTTAAATAATATTGTTATTTAATTTCTTAAAATATTAATTATTTATTGAATTTAATAATCCGTAAAATTATAATTATACTATTATTACATAATTCGTTATTAATTTTATAAAATATTAAATTATTATTAATATGAATATTATGAATTCTATTATAATTAATTTTCTACTTTAAGAAATTTTTTTAATTTATTACATAATTTCGTTATTTTAACTATTCAAAATTTTGTCATGTAAAATATTTTGTTATTTAAATATTTAAATAATATGTAAAATATTTAAAAATTTAAATTATTTGAATTTTATTTATTTTAATGTTATTACATAATAGTAAATATTTTGTTATATTATTTAGCTATTTTAATCTTTTTTATTTTAAGTTTTAGTTATTGAAATATTTAAATACTGTTTTATTTTTAATGTTAAATTCTTATTATTTGAATAACATTTAAATTGAATAATTCATCAAATTATAATTTTTATTGTTACTACATAATTTCATGATGAATTTTGTAAAAAGATTGAATTATTAATAATATGAATATGATTAAATCTATTAATTTTGTGTTTTGAATAAATATTTTAAATTTAGTATATAGTTTTGTTATAACATTTAAATAGTTCTGAATTGATTTTTAATTGAAATTATATTTAGATAGATATAAATAAAAAGTGGGAGAGAGGATAAATAGGAATTAGAAATAGTTTAGGAGAGAATCTCTCTACTAAATTAGAGATATTTTAAGAGTTAAATAGGAGTTAGAGATAATTTAAGAGATTAATTGGAATTAGAGATAAGTTAGGAAGAAGTGGGGGGAAGTGGTGCCACTTAGCTAAACATTAGAAAAGCTTTATGGTTGTTAGAAATAATTAGATATATGTAATTTCTTTATTGGTTTAATGGGTAATTATGTAAAATTAAAAAAAAATAAAAAATTAAGAAGGGAGTTTTCGGTAAGAAAAGCTATACTGACCTGGCAGGACCGATTTTAATATATATATATATATAGATATACATTTAGGAAATGGATTTAGTAGGTTTAGGAAGAGCCGAAGAGGATTGTGCATCTACCAACCAACTACAAGTCTACGGCTTCACCGGCAAAGTCGGTCTATTTCCCTTTTATTAACGTCACTGTTGCAATCTGCAACTGCAACTTGCTAAAATGGGGTCCACTGGATTTAATAATTTAAGAAGGTAACGGAGTTCCTATTTTTGTCCACTAATTCCGTTATGATTTTCTTCTATTATAAGTAAAGTGGACCTTTCCCCCTTTAACGGCGTTTATGTTTCATTTATTAACATAATGCTTACCTAAACCTAAACCTACTTTTAAATTATTATTAATTATTAATGGCAGAAGTTCGGAGGTGAGAAGGAACACACAACAAAATATAAGACGTTCCGTGTTGGCGTGTAGACGGATGCGTGCCAGAACATCTCTTCTACGTGTCATCGTGTTATTGGATTTCTTATAGGGGCAGTTTCTTGACTTGATTCACGGGTTCTATATTTTTTCGCCCATCGCCACTTTTAAATAGGGATTCTCGGTGCCTCTCCTTTTGCATTCTTCTCTCAAGTCTCATCCAGATTTCTCATCTTCTCATCCAGTCTCTCCAATTTTCAAGGTACATCTCCCACCACCGCTTTCTTTTCTTTTTCTTTTTCTTCTGTGTTTTTCCTTCTTTTTTCATTTTTGTCTGAGAGAGCCCCCGACGCGGGTATACTACTCCTGCAAATTAATCTCATAGATTTTTTCTTCTTCTTCTTTTTTTTTTTTTTAATTTAAATCGTGCAGATGCAGATCTTCGTCAAGACCCTCACCGGTAAGACCATCACCCTCGAGGTCGAAAGCTCCGACACCATTGATAACGTCAAGGCGAAGATCCAGGACAAGGAGGGCATCCCCCCTGACCAGCAGCGTCTCATCTTCGCCGGCAAGCAACTCGAGGACGGCAGGACCCTTGCCGACTACAACGTCCAGAAGGAGTCCACCCTCCACCTCGTTCTCCGTCTTAGGGGTGGGATGCAGATCTTCGTCAAGACCTTGACCGGTAAGACCATCACCCTCGAGGTCGAAAGCTCCGACACCATTGACAACGTCAAGGCCAAGATCCAGGACAAGGAGGGCATCCCCCCTGACCAGCAGCGTCTCATCTTCGCCGGCAAGCAACTCGAGGACGGCAGGACCCTTGCCGATTACAACATCCAGAAGGAGTCCACCCTCCACCTCGTGCTCCGTCTGAGGGGAGGTATGCAGATTTTCGTCAAGACTTTGACTGGCAAGACCATCACTCTTGAGGTCGAGAGCTCGGACACCATCGATAACGTCAAGGCCAAGATCCAGGACAAGGAGGGTATCCCACCAGACCAGCAAAGGTTGATCTTCGCCGGAAAGCAACTCGAAGATGGAAGAACCCTCGCCGACTACAACATCCAGAAGGAATCCACCCTCCACCTTGTGCTTCGTCTCAGGGGAGGAATGCAGATTTTCGTCAAGACCCTTACCGGCAAGACTATCACCCTGGAGGTAGAGAGTTCCGACACGATCGACAACGTAAAGGCCAAGATCCAGGACAAGGAGGGTATTCCCCCGGACCAGCAGAGGCTCATCTTCGCTGGGAAACAGCTTGAGGATGGCCGAACCTTGGCCGACTACAACATTCAGAAGGAATCAACCCTCCACTTGGTGCTGCGTCTGCGTGGTGGGATGCAAATTTTCGTGAAGACCCTGACAGGGAAGACCATCACTCTGGAGGTGGAGAGCTCGGACACGATTGATAATGTCAAGGCGAAAATCCAGGACAAGGAGGGCATTCCTCCTGACCAGCAGCGTCTCATCTTCGCTGGAAAGCAGCTTGAGGATGGGCGTACTCTGGCCGATTACAATATCCAGAAGGAATCCACTCTCCACCTTGTCCTTCGTCTTCGTGGTGGTTTCTGAACGGGCTAGGCTCCCTTAATTCGTATCATGTCGATCCTGCTACTTTGATCTGTGTCTCTGTTTAATTTGGAAAAGTTAAAAACTTAAAAAAACCTTTAAATGTTTCTTTTCTCTTGGTGTCAAGTGGTGGTCTCCATGAGGCCGTTGCAGTAATGAAGGTACTTAAGTATAATTCTATGTGAATAAAATCTCTATGGACTATGGTGCTTCGCTAATTTCCTCTAGTCTCATTTGTGTGTTGGCCAAGTAAATTTGAATCCTGCAACTGCAACTCCTCTCCTCTAAGCAAATTTGGATTTTGGGGTCTCAACTAGTCTGTTCAATAGTTGGGTGTAAGAAAAGCCAGGGGTTCAAGTTGAGCCCAGAGCGGATCTTTGAAAACTTGAAACTATGACGATGACGATGATGATATAATACTGGGTTAGCCATGTAAAGGGATATATTCTTAGGATTTGGAGTTTTAATTAAAGAAAGAAACTACAGCTCTAGTCAATGCCAATTAAATTATTAATTCAGGAATTTTAAAAGCTCTTAGAACACGGTTGATAAATATTTTTCTGTTTATGTAATTGATGCTTTTCCTCCGGTAGGGATACAGACATTTCGAAAGAAGAGAATCTGAGAATGGCACAGGTTGGCATGTTGCTGTTGCAATGTAAGTAGCCAGACAAATTTCTTGGAGGACGGATGGTAAATTGGATTAGAGGCGGTCAATGCTTGCACTATCTACGATTTTAGGAATTAGGAGTAAAAGGGGCTAATTGTTAGCAATTTTTTAGCCAACTTCAGTCGGTGTTCATTTTTCATCATCAGTCACCTTATACTATCCCTCTGCGTATCCTGTTAGGTAAGGTATGAGTAGGATGATACACACATGGATCCTTCCTTTGAAAGAACTGAACCATTGTCCTCATCCCCAAAACGTTAGGTCGCAATTCGTAGTATTTTTTTTTGGGAAAATTCTCGATAAGTACCTGCTCTTTTAAGTTGAGTGTCAATTTTAAATTTTTATTTTGCGATAATAATTTTAGTACATAATTTATCGTTAGAAGACAAAGACTTGATTATCCATCATCTATTTTGAGCAATGCATGATTCCTGATCAAAATTACAAAATTGACTTCAGTTATAATTTCTCTGCAAGTGGAGAGAAGTTCTCGACAGATACCCTGCTGCTGCTGCTTCTCACACTGAGCAAATGCAAGAGTTGAGAGCTCATCGGAGAGAGGTTCCATGCTTCAAGGTAGACATCCTGCCCGGGGATGGAACACCAGAAGATAACTGTAAGAGTGAATGATCAACGATTTTTGGGGAGAAAGCATTAGGATTGATTGGCGATGGCATGCTCTGTTATTGCCGGAACTGGTTGAGAACCACTGATTTGTGAGATGGGGAAAAGATCGACGCTGTCTAATCTGAATACCAGGACGACGAGGAGATTTCAGCAGTGAAGTGATCCTCAAGGTTTGAAGGGGTCAGGGTCTTGGAATGAATAGATCTGTTAACGGTGGATGAACTAAGACGTGGCTGAGAGAAGCAAGACAAATCATTCAGAGTTGCTGTTGATGGGCTTGGCCAGATACCGGGCGGTGTAAGTGGTCATCCCGAGCCCTAGAAAAGACCAAATTCGATAGTTGTGGAAGGAAAGTATGAACACCGTGCGACGAAGATGTACGTCCATGTCCTTGTTAGACAGTTTTGTATGCCCTTAGCTCCAATCAGTTATGATGTACTTTTGACATTTAGTGTAAATAAATAAAGTACATATTTGATTCATGTTGTGTGGTATATTTCTGTATAAGACCCTTAAACTGAACACTTAATGAGACTCGTGTTAGTTTAGAACCTTTACAGCCGTTGGATAAGTCTGGAGAGATTTATCCTATCAAGGCTGACACTGGTGTGCTGCCAAGTGTTGGGGTGGCTTGTCTCAGCCGCTAGGGTGAAACCCAAGGCACATGCAGTGTATGATTACTTGAATCTTTGAACCGGACCAGATTTCCAGTATTGCCCTGGACCTTGGAGATTGACGGGCAAAACTGGAAAGTTACACCTGACCCCTAGACTCGATTATGATACTACACTAGGTGTCGGATTGGGCTGTCTTTGATAGGCCAATCAGTGAGATTCTTAGCGGGGGTCAAAACCTGGGTATGTTGGGACAGTTTGAGAATTCATCTGAGTGGGTGATCATAGTGACAGGATCAACCATTTTGTCGGACAAAGGTAATGATCGGGGATGCACTCTCTCTGATGGAAACCAAACTGCCGGCAGTTGATTTCAATCATTGGAATTTTGTTATGCAAATTTTATATATATGATATATATACATATATGGTTTCAAAATGTTTGCAAATGGTTTTAATTCCCRGGATCCATGTGAGCAGAGAGTACAACACTGTTCCTTGCAGCCGAGGGAAAGGTCCTCTCTTGTCGGGCAATGTTTGATCATTATGGGCTGAGAGGTTAAATGTAAGACCATTGGGGGTAATACCTGATGGGCTAATCTTGCATCTGCCCATAGTCCCTGAGTTTTTATAAGATGGCTTGGCCCAGGGACCACTAAGTGTAAGTGTTGGGCCCATAGAGTCCATGTGATGGGCTCAAGGGGTTCATTGGGCTTTCTAGTGAATTCGGCTAGGCCTTGTAACAAAGGCTGGGCCGAACCCATGTGGCTAATGTGTAGATCAATTCTTGGGTCCCATGCCATACAAAGAAGCCCAACTGGGCAGCAGTTTGGAAACTTATTGAGTACTAATTACTTATTGGGCCTAAAGCCCATTTCGACTTGGCTAATATGATCACCCACTTAAGGGGTCGTATCTGGGATTAGGGTTAGCTAAAGGATTAGGGTTCTAACCCTGTCCACTCTTGGAGACCAAATTCAAATGTGATTTGAATCTGGTAACCTCCTAATAAGATCAGGAGTGAGCTGACCTAATCTGCAGATAGGATTAAGATTATCCCCTATCCAAATGCTAATTTGGATTGGGATAACTCCTAATAGGATTATGAGGTTTCTTAATCACTATGAAAGGAGGAAACCCTGATCTTGAATTGCAAGAATTTGACCTAGGGTTTTGTAGTAACAACTTCTACAAGTTTGAGATAGGATCTCTTCTTCCTAAGCTGAAATCTGCATCCACGCCACTTTCAGCCTTAGAAACTCCTCCATCCGCCGCCACCTTACTGCTTGGTTCAAACTCCTCTAAAGGGATGATCAAGAAGCTGGTTCTTGAGATTAGTCTTTGCTGAAAGACTAATTTGGTTCGGTGCTCTAAGCCTCCAACGGATTCTTGCGAAGAGTTCGGTACGTAGGACGTACACTGTTGGTTCTGCCCCACCATCGCTGTGTCATCTTCTACGGGAGCAGATCTTGGATCTTTCTTTGGGCGTGAACACCGACGTTGGGAGATTTTGATTCTCCGTATCAGGTATAACCCTTCCCTTGATCTTGGTTCAGAAATGGTTAGGTTTGGTTCGAGTAGGTCCTTGAATAATTGATTCTAAAATAAGGGAATATGATTCCCAGTTGATTGAAGGGAGAAAAATTTTTGAAATTCACCCACCTATTCCGCTGCTTTCTTGGCATCCATACGATGGATTTCTCCCTCCTTTCAGTGGTATCAGAGCCATAGGTTCGAATCTTGAACCAAGAAATCAGATCTGAAGCTGTGCAATTCGGTAGAAGCTGTTCTATCCGGGTATTGCGTAGATTGCAGTTTTATTTCAAGAAATTGTTTCTTGTATGGGCGATTGATCTGAAATTAATTTTTGTTAAATCTGAAATTTAATTTAGAACTGTTATTATTTTATTTTTGATTTAATGGACTGTTCATACATGGAGTTCGAAGATCAGATTTGGCGCAGAATGTCTGCGCACCTATTATTTGTAGTTTCTATTCATTCTGGTCTGTAAAATAATTTTTTTTTTAGACTGAATGTATAAGATTCAATCAAGAATGTAATTAATTAATAGAAATAGGATTTCTATTTTTTATTTTTTTTTTCTTGATTGAGAAGGCGGCGGCGCTGGAGATTTGCAGATGAGGAGTTCGCTATCTGCGTTTTTGCAGTTTGGGAAACTGCAACCCTGATTACTAACCTTTGTTTTGCAGGTTGTACGAACAATCCAGATCAGTTTTTGATTTTCAAAAATTTGGAATTTTAATTTCAGATCTTTCATTGAATTGTTTTTTGAATTAAAAATTGTTTTTGGACCGTTTTGGACTAGATTGGACCAAAACTATTTGGACCGAATCTAGGGTTCGAAAGGGACAGTATTCAGTCCTGTTATTTCCCACTTTCAAGTCTGAAATCAATTTTTAATTGGAAGAACCAATTCGGCCCAACCTGTAAAGCCTAGTTTTAAGGGGTTAAAACTACAAAAGCCCAGTTTTACATAAAAGCTATATGGGCCGAACTGCTAATTGCGATTCATCCCATATACCTAGATGATATTAATGGTTAATATTATGGACGTTAGTGGCTCTTGCGCACACCATGGCTGAATGCACATCATTGCCATGGTGTCCCATACAGTCATTGGATGACCCCTTCCTTTGATGGTGGGCCCCCACAACCCTGAAAAGGGACGTGTGCGGAAACCCTAGCCAAATTGGGCCACCATAAATCTGACTTTATGAAAGTCAGTGGGATCCCCTTTGGTTTGACCTAAATTAACTAGGGCATAAAATTTTGTTCCCTCTAGCAAATATGGGTGTGTGTGATAGGGAGATTCATGTGATGAGGCCTTCCGTCATTAGCACGATGATGAGTCATTCAGTAATGAGGAAACACACCATAAAATTGGGCTATCCATTTGTTGTTGGGTCTGTCAGAGTGTTTCATAAGATGATAGGGGCGTCATAGACCGATGTGGGAGGGGCTTCACCAGAAAATGGGAACTCTCTCACGGTACCTTGGCGTAACCTGAATATGATGGGTGAGCACTCACTGGATAGAAAGGTTTACCTGAAAACGGCTCTAAACCTTGTCTGACAAAGGCCAAAGGGAAACTCATACGATGAGTGGATATGATCTGTCACAAAAAGGTGGTGGGGTTATGCAGCTGAAACAGTTGGCTCTACGCATCCTATGTGATTTCCCACATTTCCAGAGACATCTTCGCCGTCTCCATCACTGAGATAGGAGGGAAATCTCAAAGATGGACAAATGGAAATAGAACATAGATTAAAAGCCATATCTATGTAG